GCGTGCTTGCACATGTGCAGTGTGTACTGGGGTCAGAAATTTTATGTAGGGATTGGTTGGAAGCTGACTCCAAGGGAGTTGGGAATTGTGGCCAAATAACTTAGCAAAATTGCTGGCTCCACAGGAAGGTAGGGCCCTCCCAAACTTAAAAAAATGATGAGACTCACATGTTCACATGTCAGCCTTTGGTCTTTTTTATATTACCATGTTGTCCCTACTCTAGATGTCACTGGTCTGCTTCAGGGAAGTCTGCATAGTCACAATGGAAGTAACAGTGCCAATTGCTGTACATTGATAGTAACTTTAATTCTTTATATTCACATCATTTTTTTCTTCTTTAAAACTCTTTCATATCCTTAAACCATATTTGGAAAGAACAGTTGCCATTGTTGAAGAACCAGGCCCCAGGATATTTGGTGGCTTGTCAAAGGCACCAGATTCTGTCCCTAAGCATCACCCTGCCCCTTGGGTCAGATGTTTCCTTGACAATTATGATGATGGAGAAGTCACACATCGAGAGCTGTTTGTCTTTGAGTCTTTTTAAATGGAAAGAAGTAGCTATTTGACCGTTGTGGAGGAAGAAGAGAGAGAAAGGACAAAGGAGGGACATGGAAGGCTTCCACTTTGTGTTGGGTGGCTGGCCTGGAGTTTCTCCCGCTACAGTCCTTGTCTTTCTGAGAATAGAGTATCTCATCTCTCCGTACCCAGCCTCGGGCTTCTTCTTCCCCTCGTTGTGTCCGTGCTCTGCTCTTCCGTTCACCGTTAACTTCTCTCCTCGATTCCTGTAGTTGGATTTTGCCTTCTCTTCAAAGCAGCATCTGCACATACCATAACCTGCTCGAATATAAGTCAGTACACGCCCTTTGTGCTTGACTCCAGTGCCTTTTTGATGGTGTTGTTCACTCTTAAAGGTGTTGCCTCCTCTCACATATCCTTGGTGGCCAGACTGGAATATGAACAAACCCAACTCTGAAAACTTGTACTTCTTTCCCCCGCGTTACGAGACTTTATTTACATCCAGAACTATAAAGAGATGGCGGAGAGGTGGGGCCCCTGCTGATCCATTTCCTTAACGAGGGCAGACCTAGTGCAGAACTGGGTAATTCATAATTGTCATTCATGTGTGATTTAAGTTCATTCAGCTTAGACAGCATTTCAGGACCAGGGTAATAAGCCTGATTTCCCATAATCACAGAACTATTTTGAGCTGTTTTGGCTTTTCATTCTATTTATTTCCAGCGTCTAACATGATGCCTTGTCGACTGTTTGGTTTTTCAATAAGCATTTTCTAAACAGATATGTTTAATTGATCTGTGGTTAGGTAAGAGAGTGTAAAAAAATACACACCGTGCAGTGGTTGCCACAAAAGTGTGTGGGTGTGTGTTCATGACCAAGTGGAGGAGAAAGAGGATGAAAAAGCAAATGGAGCAAAATGCAAACAGGTGATGAGTCCAGGTAAAGGCTACCTAGGAGCTGCATACTTTCCTCGCAACTTTTCTAAAGTTTTAAATTACATTAAAATAAAAATTACTTACCAAAAGCACAAAACAAATAAAGGGAGGGCAATCTAAGTGGCTCTGCAAACAAAACAAACAAAAAACAAATCCCCAACTGAAAAGAAGCGTTACCATATAGTATAACCCCGTCTGTAATCCTGATCTGTGTCCATCCCTCTTTCACGTGATTGACCTTAAGAGACAACACCTGGCAATGAGATTAATGGGTTTATTCTATTAGATTTAATTCACCCATGTGCTCACGTTTGGCCCAAAAGGAGGTATTTTGGCAGACATACGGTCATGTTTTTGTGTCGTTTGAAAGGCCCTTCCTCATGCCCCAGAGCGTAAGTAATGGCCAGGTTCCTCTTTTGTGTTGTCAAAGCAAATACTATATAGGAGTGTAAATGCCTATGTACGGGATATTTGTAAGATATTTTTATTAATCATTTTTATTATTCTAACCTTTTGCAAGAACCATGCTCAGCAGTCAGCTACTTTTGTATGATGCAGTATGAGACAATGATACACTTAAGAATGTGCTCTCTGGGTCTGCAGACAGGTACAAGTAATTTTTTTTTTTTTAAGTAAGAATCCAAATTCAAGGGTTTTTGTAATCACGTAGAGAGGAACAGTAACTAGTAGTAATGCAGCATCTCTTACTACCACCTGGCGAGTGGAGGTCATGCTATGTATAACTTGTATTTTTTTAATGTTTATTTTTTGGTCAGCCCTCAGAACTTTCTAGTAAAAATAATGTTTTGTCGTTTTATGTAATTAGCCTTTGGTATACAGGAAAAAGGCTTTCTCCAAAGAATAAACTCTGAAGCAACAACTCATGAGGCCACTGAATTTTTACATTCCTTTTAACTGTCGCCTCCTCTGGGCACAGCGGAGAATGCCCCACCCAGCTGTGTCCTTTCCCGGGCCTGCAGTGGGGTCTCATGCGAGGTCACCAGAGGAAAGGGGAGTGGCACATTCAGGTCCCACCTGCAGGAGGCAGTGTGGGGTGGGGGAGGGTTGAGGTCACAGGCCCCATTCTAAGGGTGCTGCTTGTTACCTTACTGACCTTGGACGGTTGACCCGTGGCAAATCACTCTGAGGCTGTATCCTCCTCTGTTCAACAAGATACACCCTGATCAGGTTGCTTGATGTGGTGATTAAATGCCTTAACACTAACAGGCCCAGAAGACCGTGTTAGTTGTCGGAGTGCCAACAAATGAAACTGAAAGCCGTGCCTATGAATAAAACAACTTTGTCACTCATGTTCCTTCAGTTGTTCTCTTCACACTGCTGAAGAGTGACAGCCCTGAGCGTAGGAAGACTGGAAGGAATGTGTGGGATTCGGAGGCTTGAGATGTGGCCAGCACATCCAGGAGGTGGGAGATTGTGGCATTCGATGCTCAAGTTGATTTACCTTGATTAGGGTGGTAACTGGCTGTACGTCTTGTGCAAAAGGCTAATCAAGGAATATGGCTGTATACGTAACTTAGATCTTTGGCAGTTGGCACCTTTGTGCTACTTTGGAAACCCCATGGTTTGTCTTCATTTGTGTTTCTTGTGTTTTAGGATCGTGACATTGAATTCTTAGGCTCTATTTACTATTTACGGTCTTTGTCAGAGTGTGCAGAGTAGGTACCTGAGTGTCTTCCTCCTCAGCCAGACCCCTCAAGAGACAGAGATGAGTCATGATGCGGGTTCAATTGCAGTGAAGACCGTCTTTCTCCTGGAAGGTTTGAGTTAAAGTCTTAACCTCTAGCTTTCTTCCTTTGACATATGGGAACTTGTTTGTTTGTCTGTTTGTTTTAAACAAAAAGGAAAGACTAAATCCAAGAAATGTTGTTACCAACACTCTTTTTTATTGAGGCGCAAGAGCAACTCGCCTGTGTTTAGAAAGCTCTTCCTAAGTCAAGACATGAACAAGTTGCACCTGTGTGAAGGGATGACGTGTTTAAAAGGTCACAACCTCCCAATGGTAGTGTAGGAAATGAGGTCATCTTTACTTTTTGTTCGGGGTGGGTGAGAGGTAAATTTCTCAGTTGGAACAGCCATACTACTGTGTGGTGTGGCTTCTACTGCTAGTAAAGATCGCAGCCATTGGGTGTGTGGCCTCCCATTTGCGAACTATAATTTTTTATGTCCTTTGAGTTGCAAAAGAAAAACTGTAAGCTTTAATAATCGTAGGTTTTAGCAGGTAAGCTTTTCTAACATGTATTTAGAGCTGCATGGAGACAGTCACTGGAAAATGAGTCTCAGGCTGGAAGTGTTTAGGTTTTCCCTGGTTGTTTAAGCAAACAAGGGAAATTTGTAAGGCACAAAGATTTTTGGAAATCTAATGTGTACATGGTGTGATTAGACCCTGGCTTTTATTTTAGCTGTGTGACCTTGGGTAAGTCACTTAACTTCCCTGAGCCTTGTTTTCTCTAAAATTGGGTTGGACTAACTATCTATAACTTTCTTTTTTGGTAGAGAAAAAGGGACAAGTATTAAAAGCTTCATCGGATTCTGAAAGTCTTGTATCTTTGTTTCCTCTTAGGGCCTTGGGATGAGGGATATTTTAAAAAATCAGAGAAAACTAACAAGGAACATAAATGGTAATGACAAAGTTCCTGGGTTGTAGGGCAGGGCCTGTTAACATCGACACCTGGATAGCCTTTCACCTGAGGAGACGTCCGTCAGACCTGGACTTGCATCCGCCTTTGTCCCAAAGCAGGCGGAAGGATGGCAAGGCACACATAGCAGGTGCTCCAGTGAGCGCCTGCTATTACTGCACCTCAACACTGAGAGTCACCAAGCTGGCTTTTCTTTTAAGCTCATGTTTGGCTTCAATTACTTTCTGTTGAAGGAACTCATCAGTGAATATCTGGCCGACTGTAGTTCATAGATAGTTAGGGCTTGCAGATTTAACGTGTTCTAGATTTAACTGTGCTACCTCTACTCAGTGAGCAAACTAAGTTTAGGGTCTCTCAAAACTTAATGAGAAACCTGAAACCTAAGCAGGTGGCCCAGTGCACCCACAGTGCAGGTAGCAGCGCCTTGATGGGGAAAACCGGTGGGAGACGTAAGGAGCCGGTGGGGCTCTGGAGCCACTTCTCCAGGCACACGGGGCCAGGCGGGAGGAAGCGCAGTCCCCAGTGCTTCTTTCTTCAACCCATGGGACTTCACTGGGATGTCATTCGTAGGAAATTTAACCTGATGTGTCAGGCAAAACAATTTCCTTGAACCTTTCCAAGGAATAATTGCGTAGAGAAGCACCTTTTGAAGGCAGCTGGAACTAATTTTGGTGGTCTTTTCTGGAATGCTGAGTGGGTAAGGAGGCTGCTTCTGAACTCTGGAGCCCTAGATTTTAGGTTGCAGCGGGCCAGAGGGGTTGGGATAATGACCCAGCACGTTGGGTACCTCCTGAGGGCCACAGCAGGTGTAAACAAGCATTCAGCAAAGGCTCTCCAAGGGTAAGAGCAGTGCATTCAGGTCCTTAATTGTTTTTTCTCCTGTTGTCCACAGCAGCCATTGTTTGATGTCCTGTGACTGAGAAAACCAGCTTCTGAGTTTTACTATGCCTTTGGAGATGGAGCCCAAAATGAGCAAACTCACCTTTGGGTGCCAGCGGAGTTCCACGTCGGACGATGACTCCGGCTGTGCGTTGGAGGAGTACGCCTGGGTCCCGCCGGGGCTCAGACCAGAGCAGGTGGGAACCTGGTCGTCCCGTGGTGTGTTTTCCAATGAGGTTTAAGGTTTTTCAAGTTGTAAAAAATTTAGACATCATCACAGCCACACTGACATGCTACCCCCCACGGTCCTCACTCTTCTTTGGATAGTTGTACATCTTTTGCGTGTTAAGGTGATACTTAGTTTCTCAATGAAAGTCTTCTATCCCTTTTGTACTCTTGGGTCCAGAAGACTGTAAGGATGAAATCCAGAGTACTACATGTTATGTGGATTTCTGATGGGGCCCTTTGGAGAGAATAGGAGGAATTAACCTTTTTCAAAACTTCCATAACCACAAAGAGGTAATAAAAGAGGAAAGTTTCCATGCCAGCTCTCAGCAATGTGTTTACTTTGGAAGAGAGGCAACACAGAGCTCTAAGAAACCATCTTTAGTGTCATTGCTTAGACATTTGACCTTTGATAACCTTGCACATAAAAGAATCTGTCACCACACAGTGTGGATTTGAAAATTAAAATTGAGGGGCTAACTTGGTGCCTTCTTTGTATTGTTATTTTAAGGAAGATAAGAACCTTCTATGTGTCCACTTTTTATTTTCCCAGTGATGATGAACTTGTTAAAAATTGTGGGTGACAAATCTTCTTGTAAGGGCCGAGGCATCATTTGAAATGAAAGGTACCAACTGGGTATGCAGTTGCTTGAGTTATGGTTGTTTCCCGTATGATGGGAATGCCTTTGAGAATAGGGGCTCCTTGTCCTTCTAGGGCCTAGCACAGCACCTGGCACCCGTGCATCTGGTAAGTGTGTGACTGAAAAGCCTCTACAGCTGACTCGAGGGGAGTGTGCTGGGCACCAGTGAGGACAGGGATATTTTGATGAACTATGCAACAATAGAGGGCCCTTCTAGCGGCTCAGGGTGGGCGGGTTTCGTGAGGTGCCAAGATAGTGAAGCAGAGCCCCAGCGCCCCAGTCTCCTGTCTCTATTTTTCCATCACTTTCATTCTCTCGCAGCCCCACAATACTCTGTAAGGGATGCTCCTTGAAATGTAACAGGGAGAAAACTGAGCTCTCCTTTCAGAATGAACCAAGTATAGCTCCACATGGCTCCCCTCCAGTTTCTTGGGGGAAACTGACTCCAGGTATTTGGAATATAACAGCCATGGAAGCAAAGAAAAGCTGACACTTGGAGAGAACCTGATAAGAGAGAGTTTATAGAGTTTAACAAAACAGCTTTTGTCTTTGCAACGTGTAAAATTCAGAGATCAAGTTCAGCGTGTTGGTGTACTGGCTGGGTTGTGGACAGTGGCACACAGCCTGCAAGGCCACTGGCGGCATTCACCCCGGTCTCCTCTTGGCTGAGGAAACTGGCTGGGAACTGTGGCATTACATGTGCATAGTTTGGTGTGTCATTTATGATGGCCCTAAATGTCACTATAAATGACATTCCTGAAGAGCGGCTTAGCAGCTGGAAGCCTGCTACTTGAAGGGTTGCAGTTCTGCTGAGTTGGCTTAGCTGTTCTTCCCATTAGCGACAAGAGGCCAAACCTTGTACCTACGGGGAAGGTGACTTTTTAAAATGTAATAAGCTAAGATGTGCACTTTCTGTATGCTGACGTCTTCTATCTCTTACTCAGATCCAGCTTTATTTTGCCTGCTTACCAGAGGAAAAGGTTCCATATGTAAACAGCCCTGGAGAGAAACATCGAATTAAACAGCTTTTGTACCAGTTGCCACCGCATGATAATGAGGTAAAACAAAAACAAAAAAATAATCCAGGGAGAAGACTAAAAAAAATAAACACTAAGCATTGAGATGTCCCCTATAAACCCCAGCTCCAGCTGTCTTTTGCTTTTCTTCAGTGAAAATTTGGCTGGAGAATACAGCTTTCCATTCTTTAAGAGAGAAAGGGTGTCAGTGCAATAAACTTAACACAAGTTGGTTTTTATAGTGTTTACAGCCACCCACTGATTCTCAGGAGCCTGCAGATTCCTGAGCTTGCCCTGCCCCTTCATCCAGACTCAGTGCTTTATGGTGGTTCAGGCCACAGTTGGTTGAGTGCCTGTAGAATGTGGAGCAGAAGTGGCAATTAACAAGTTTAAACCTTTTGTGGAAAGGTTAATGTCTTGCAATTTTTTTAGCATCTCTGCTGGTTAGAATTTAAATGAAACATTTTACATTTTTTAAAAAGTGTTCCTTTAAATTGCTTTTCCCTTTCGCTAAAGAGACTGTGAGGTTTGGTGTCAATTACAGGTATGGTGGTGTTTCTGAACTGGGGAATCCTTGGAGGAGCCTGTGTGGTGGCAGGCCGTCTAAACTTGCTGTTTTATTTCCTGAAACTCTTAAGTCTGGAAATAAAGAAGGGGCAAGGGAGGCTTTTGCTCCACTGTGGTGCTTCTGTTTTCCTGTTTGCAAAGGTGCGGTATTGCCAGTCTTTGAGCGAAGAGGAGAAAAAAGAATTGCAAGTGTTCAGTGCTCAGCGGAAGAAAGAAGCACTTGGAAGAGGGACAATTAAACTCCTGTCCAGAGCAGTCATGCATGCCGTGTGCGAGCAGGTAGTGCTTTCTAGAATGAGGAGCTCATGGTGGTGATGTGGATGGAGTGAGCTGGGTGGTAGGTGACCGCGCTAGCACACATCTGGGCCCTGAAAGCCTCCAACAACTAAGAAAAGGCAGGCTCACTTTTTATTAAATAATGAAAGTCACTGTTCATAATTGGCTACACTGCTGTGTGTGACAGAGCAGACTTGCCCTTGTGTAAACATCAGGTGAAATCCTGCTCTTCCGAGGACCCTGGTGTGTCAGGAGGTGCTAGGGTACACCTAGTATTCTCAAAAGGCAGAGACATAATGAAGACATTCAGATCCTTACTGGCTCTTCTTGGCATTGGAAATGCATCCAGCAGGAGGCTGGCTGAGGAAAACCACTGTTAATGTGAGTCAGATGAAACCATTTTTAGAAACAGTCTAGTGGGAAGTCTATCTGAGGCCTGCTCCTTGCAGTTGAGAATCACACATAATCCAGCATTAAGGAGCTACTTGACCACGAACAGGAGGGGAGAAAAATAAAAGCTTTCCAGGCAGATTTGGGCTTGAGTGTCAAGTGGCGAAGGCCGAGAACCCAGTCACTGGAGAAGGAGTTCTCTAACCTCAAGTCCTCTTGTTTTTAGTGTGGCTTGAAGATCAACGGAGGGGAAACTGCAGTGTTTGCCTCACGTGCGGGCCCTGGAGTGTGCTGGCACCCGTCCTGTTTTGTCTGCTTCACGTGTAACGAGCTGCTGGTCGACCTCATCTATTTTTATCAGGATGGAAAAATTCACTGTGGCAGGCACCATGCTGAACTGCTCAAACCACGGTGTTCAGCATGTGATGAGGTAAAAAAGTTCATCCCTTAACACTGGAAAAAATAAGCTTCCAGGGAGCCAACATTCCACTGTTCACAGCTAAGCAAAATATAAATATCTCCTGCTTTTGCTCTGCTTTGTTTTGTACATGTTAAGCTAACCCTGTACATTCATACAATGGAGTAAGATGTAGCTACTATAGAATAGGCAGCACATGTCTTTGTGCATTGATAAGTAGGAGGCTATTGATGGATGATGAGAAAATAAAAACAAGCTGCAGGAAAAGTATACAGCAGATGATCTTATTTGGTTAAATAAAGAGGAACAAACCAAGACTGTATACACACTTGTATACATCCAGAAACAGTATGGAGAGACAACACTAAGTTAATAGTGGTTACCCATGGGGCACGTGGGAAGGGGGATGGTGGCGTGAAAGGAAATTTTTTCTTAAGCTTTTTACTTTAAAGTAATTTTAGATTTCCAGAAGAGCTGGAGATGTTCCAGAGCTCCTGTATACTCTTTTCCCAGCTTTGCCCATTGTTAATGAACATCTTCCCCGTCCTGGGATGTGCACTGAAACTGAGAAGTTACCATTGGTGTCATGCCGTTAACTACACAGTTTATGTAGATTTTCAGTTTCTATACTGTACTAATGTGTCTTTTCTAGTCCAAGATCCAATCCAGGTACCTCAGTGCATTTATTCTTTTTTCCCCATCAATCAGTCTCCTTTGATCAGTGACGCTGAGCACTCAGTCTTTACTTATATACATTATTTTTTAAAGTTTTTTCATTGGTGTGGTATTTGAAGTTTTTTTTTTTTAAACCAAACCCCAAAGCTATGAGGTCTTTAATCTGGAGATGGCAACCAGGCCGAATGAAGCAGGAGCAATGCCGGTGTTGTCCGCACAGCCCAGCACCTCGGCGGCTATAGCTGTCAGGTGCACTGGCGTCTGTGTGAGTTTTCCATTGAGGCACAGACCATTGAATTATTCCAGTGTGAATGTACTCTTCGCCAGATCATGCCAATAAAATGTAATCAGGGAGCAAAAATAATGACCAGACTAATTGTCCCCAGTGAAGAAATTTGTTTAATTTTTTTTAACTTTTCAATTACACTTGACATTCAATATTCTATCAGTTTCAGGTACACAGCAGAATGGTTAGACATTTATAAAGTTTAAACAAGCACTTAGTTTCTCTTTCTTAACATTTTCAATTACTGCCCTTGTTTTATAGCTAAAGCAAGTTAGATGAAAGCTTGAGGCTATAAGAAACAAGCTTAGCTGTCTAAGTGACTTGGCCTTGAAAATAGCTCAGAATGATTTTCTGTCATCCTGTGGTTTCATATTCCTTTTAAAGATCATTTTTGCTGATGAGTGCACAGAAGCTGAGGGTCGCCACTGGCACATGAAACACTTTTGCTGCCTCGAGTGTGAAACGGTCCTCGGAGGGCAGAGGTACATCATGAAGGACGGCCGCCCTTTCTGCTGCGGCTGTTTTGAGTCTCTGTATGCTGAGTACTGTGAAACCTGTGGGGAGCATATTGGTGAGTCCCTGACCCAGCCCGTCTGCTCTGTCGTGTTCCCATCCGTCCCTTTATGATGGTCCAGGGTCTTTCTTTTTTTAATTGAGGTATGAATTACATACAGTGACATGTACAGATCTTCAATGTTTCAATTTGATGAGTCTTGACAAATAAATATATAATTAGTTCTTGTTATTTGAGGGATTTGTATTCTGTAAAGTCACCCAAATTATCGAACAGTGAGCCACTGCTCCTAGGGGAAATACAGGGGTAAGGTTCCGGCCAGCCCCCCGGTCACGTGTCCTGTTGATTCATTAACATTGAACTCACAGCCAGCAGCACTACAACTTGTGCCTGAATGAAGCTTATCTGACATACATTTTTTCTATAAGGCACATCACAGCCTTCTTGCACTGAGGAACACCAGATAGCACTGTAGCACTATGTGTGGGGCCCATTTAAACAGCAAAACCAACAAAAAGCACAAAAATCTGAAGAAAACATGGTACTAAATAGACCTCAAACATGCTACTTGTTGAAAGTAGGAGAGCTGAAAGAAAAGGCAGAGCATCACCTGGTTGGACCTCACCTGGGAACACGTATGTCAGTCCACAGAAGTGTTCCACCACTCTGCACAGGTCTACAAATGACTTTGAAAGCTCTGCAGGTATTGATTATGGGGTTAATAACTTTTAGCAGGTAGGCAAATTCACAAATATGGACTTTGTGTGACCCACAACCTTATCAAGAAACAGAACGTTTCCATTACCCCTTTTCCTATTTCTTTCTCCCTTTGTTTCAAGGTTGAACTATAGCCTGCTCTTCCATACTTTTTCAAAACAGGTGTCGACCATGCCCAGATGACCTACGACGGGCAGCACTGGCACGCCACAGAAGCCTGCTTCTCTTGTGCCCAGTGTAAAGCCTCTTTGCTGGGGTGTCCCTTCCTTCCCAAACAAGGTCAGATTTATTGCTCAAAAACATGCAGTCTCGGTGAAGACGTCCATGCCTCCGATTCCTCCGACTCTGCATTTCAATCTGCTCGGTCAAGAGACTCCAGAAGAAGTGTCCGGATGGGCAAGAGCAGTCGGTCGGCAGATCAGTGTAGACAGTCTCTCCTTTTGTCTCCTGCTCTAAACTACAAGTTTCCTGGACTCTCAGGCAATGCCGACGACACCCTTTCTCGGAAATTAGATGACCTGAGTCTCTCCAGGCAGGGAGCAAGTTTTGTCAATGAAGACTTTTGGAAAGGCAGAGTAGAGCACGAAACCCCAGAAGACCCCGAAGAATGGGCCGAGCATGAAGATTATATGACGCAGCTCCTCCTCAAGTTTGGTGATAAAAGCCTCTTTCAGCAGCAGCCCAATGAGATAGATATTCGAGCCAGTGAGCACTGGATATCTGATAACATGGTTAAAAATAAGACTGAGTTAAAGCAAAATAACCAGAGCCTTGCAAGTAAAAAATACCAATCTGATATGTATTGGGCACAGTCACAAGATGGACTGGGAGATTCTGCCTATGGCAGCCACCCAGGCCCGGCCAGCAGCAGAAGGCTCCAGGAGTTGGATTTGGACCACGGGGCTTCAGGATACAATCATGATCAAACGCAGTGGTATGAAGGTTCCCTGGAGTGTTTGTCAGACTTGAAACCAGAGCAGAGCGTCCGGGATTCTATGGATTCTTTGGCTTTGTCTAACATCACAGGTACGTAATCTAGGGATTATGCAGTGTTTGAAAAAAGAGTCACTAAAAAGTTTGTTCTGGAAATTACAGCTCAGCACCAGTAGGGGCTATGTTAATTTAAAATAGACCAAGGGAAGGAAGGAGTTTCTGTTAAATGCCAAACACTATATAGTAAAACAAATATACACGTGTGTCTGCATATGTATATAACCTTTCTGAATAGGTATTGATTTCGGTAATGGAGTCTGCATCTGTGTCTGAAAGATACTGTTCTCTTTGGTATCTCTCTGGATTGTGTTGCATGAATTTCAAGTTATTAAATCAGTCTGCACACTTTATATGCTGATAACATTTTTTGTATTTCTCTGAATCACCATGTGGCAGCAGATAGCTCAAAAATAGCTAAATATATTTTACCCGGATTATAAAATAATTTCACTTTAATGTTTTCAAAGCATTCATATTAGTTATCCACATTTCATCCTTAAAATGAACAGTATACAGTGGATATTATTGCATCTTAATATGGAAACTTGAATTACCAGAGGCTAAAATGCCTAACTTTACAGAGATTTTTAAAGGCAAGATCACACCTAGCACCTAGCCCTCCTGAATCTCACATTTGGAGTAAGTCTTCAGATACAAAAATACTGCTGTTACACAGCTAGTTTTATGGTCAAACTAAATGACATCCAATGCTTTCATAAAGCTGGTAATTACTGTAATGCAGACAGGACAGGCTTTAGTGGCTGCCCACTGCCAGAAGCGCGCCTGTGCCAGGAGCTGCACCCAGAAGAAAGGATGAGAGAGCTACCCTCCCAGTTTCTCTTGGGCTTGTCCAAGGAGAGTTGAGGAACAGTAGATGAGACCATATTATTTAAGCACCTCCTGTCTTCCGGGTCCTACGTTAGATGTTTAACACTGATCAGAAATCGACGTTATTTGGTACACATAAAGGGTTAGGGCCAGACCTTCCTTGACTACACAGGTAGAAAAACAGGGCTCCCTTTAGAAAGTAGGAAGTTCTGTAGTACCCACCTGACGAGTCCATACCAGTCCTCACTGTCACTTCCATTCTGCTGGGCCATATTCATTTATTTTCACTTGCTTGGGGCCTGATGAAAAGGAGAACAGTGTCAGTTTGAGGGAAAGTTTCAAAGTAAAATTAATCTGGAAGTGGCATGTTATTTTACAGGTTGCAGGGGAAGATGACAGCCTAGGTTAGGGGTTGGCAAACTTGTGTTAAGAGCTAGATAGGGCTTCCCGGGCCAAACACTCTCTGTTGCAAATACTCAATTCTGCCACTGTAGAAAGCAACCATAGAAAATACGTAAGCAAATCGGTGTGGCTGTGCTCCAATGAAATTTTATCCACAGATAGGCTATGGGTGGGAGGTGGTTCTTGGGCTGTGGCTTACTGACCACCACCTAAGTACAAAGGAAGGAAAACCAGTCTAGGAGGATCATAATGGTGGCTGTGTGGATGCAAAGGAAGGGATGGATTTGGCTTTAATAGATTGAGAGGCAGAAGCTTCCAACATGTCATGTGTATAAATTGATGATGAGACTTTTATGAAGGGCATTTACATTGCTGCTGCTCATGCCATGTGCTGTAACTAATATTTGGCTCCAAAACACTGGACTCCTAAGAGAGGCTATGCCTCTTGGATTGGTAAGAAAATCTGTATCGCCTTTCTATATGTCTGTGCATATTGTTTTTACCTCCTGGTTATTAATCATGATATTGGAATTTAGGAGAATTTTCTGAAATGCTTCCTTTCAATAGCTTGCTTGTAATAATTGTCAGAACATTAGAATTATAGAGACTCACATCTTGTTTTGGCTTTCCTTGCAGGGGCTTCGGTGGACGGAGAAAGTAAGCCGAGGCCATCATTATATTCTCTGCAGAACTTTGAGGAAATGGAGGCAGAAGATTGTGAGAAGATGAGCAATATGGGAACTCTGAACTCTTCCATGCTGCACAGGAGTGCGGAGTCCTTAAAGAGTCTAAGCTCAGAGCTGTGCCCAGAAAAAATCATGCCTGAGGAGAAACCAGTACACCTGCCAGTGCTCAGAAGGTCCAAGTCGCAGTCCAGACCGCAGCAGGTCAAGTTTTCCGATGACGTCATTGACAACGGGAGCTACGAGAACCTGGAGATCCGGCAGCCTCCCATGAGCGAGAGGACTCGGAGGCGCGTCTACCACTTTGAAGAGAGAGGATCCAGGCCTCACCACCGCCGCAGGCGGAGCAGGAAGTCGCGCTCCGACAACGCCCTGAACCTCGTCACGGAAAGAAAATACGCCGCCAAGGACCGCCTGCGGCTTTACGCGCCCGAGAACTACGAGAAATTCCTCCAGAACAAGAGCGCCCGGGAGATCCAGGCCTACGTCCAGAACGCGGACCTGTACGCGCGCTACGCCCACGCCGCGTCCGACTACGCGCTGCGCCACCCCGACGTGCCGCGCTTCCTGGGGCTCTGCGGCGAGGACGACGACTCCTGGTGTTCCTCCTCCTCGTCGTCCTCCTCCGACTCGGAGGAGGAAGGGTACTTTCTTGGACAGCCGATTCCTCAACCCCGGCCACAGAGGTATGCCTACTACACAGACGACCTTTCTAGTCCGGCGTCTGCACTGCCCACGCCTCAGTTTGGCCCGGGGACAACCAAATCCAAGAAGAAGAAGGGACACAAGGGCAAGAACTGTATTATTTCTTAACCTAGTAGCTGTGGAGACCATGTTTAAACTTTAAACTTAGCCATTAACCATCTTGAAGCATATCTTTTTTTTTCTTTCATAGGAAAGTTGCTAAAAATAGCTTAAAGTGCTTTGCCCATGTAAATGAGCCCCGACTGCTGTTTACAATGTCAGGTTAACTTAGAGGAGGTGTGATTTCTCCCGTTTACCCTCCCCGGATGGTGCCCGGTTGCCACAACCAGTCTGGTGCATTACAGTTTTACGTTGCTGCTTTGGTCTCCAGTCCGCAAGAGAATCCGACAGACACTGTCGTGAGCCGATTGGACGGGGGTGTTGATTTTAGGCAACGGAGAACTTTGGCCACCTTTGTAAAGCAATAGCGTTTGTCGTCCGTGTTCGCCAGGTTGGCGCAAGTCCGGATCGGTCTGTCTTGTGCGGCATGCACGTGGTCACACTGACCCAGCCAACATTGTGCGTCCCATCCCGTGAGGCCACCCCGTCCCCACTGCAGTCCTTTTTAGTCAGGTAAACATTGTATTGTATTAGCTCCAGCTACAGATTGGGGGGGGAAAGACAAAAAAACTTTGCTATTTATAATGTAGTATTTCATAGACTTAAGTGTATTCCTAATTTAACGGTGCAAATATTAATGTACATACTGTACAGTTCAGATTTTAAAGCTGATATTTTTATATCCCTGAATTGCAAGATGTTTGTTACACTGCAGTGCTAGATTCGTTAGGGAACCAGAAACAGCATTTATGGATGAAATGATTGCTTGTATTTTAGTCAGGGTTTATAAGTTTAGATGGTCAAATTTATATTGCCTAGTGATGGAAAGTTTCTTTTTTTTAAAATTTTTTTCAATATTAAAAAGGCTCTGTATGCATGGTGGGGCTATGTAAATACTCTTAAAACTATGGCCCTATTAATCTTACCAGTGTTATTTATGGGTCAAGCAATGTAAACTGTATAAATGTAAAAACAAACAAAAAACCCATATATACCCCTGGAATATATGGTAAAAACAAGTAGAAACTGTTTGGGTAGATTTTTTTCCCCCTTTGGGGGTGGTGTGTGTGTGGAGGGGGTGCCTTTCCCACTTTTAGCAAGGTGGTGATTATCTCTCGGGAAGAGACCAGAACTACAAGCATCTGCTTTTTTGTGGCAGAGGGCTTTGTAGATTTATTATTTGAAGAGAGGTTATTCCTTTTCATCCCTCCCTTCCAGCTAATTTGTTGGCTTTTAGCAGCAATTTTGAAAACTGGGCCTTCTGATTATGTTTTGCTTTTAAAAATCTGTAAATTAGAGGATGTTGTACCACTGACTACTTCAAGTTAATATGAGGTTCTATTTCAAGGGAAAATTATCTTGGATTTGAACTAATGAGCTGATATTTTGTCATGTGCCATTCTTGCACATACGTTTCAGTCCTAACTAAAGTCCTAGTGGTACTTTGGACCTTTCAGAAGGTATTTAATAAATGATAAATAATAAACTACCTACCTTTCTGAACACAGATGCTTGCAAATATACCCAGATAACTTGCACTTTACTCCTGTGTTCAGGCATGCTTTATCTTGCCGTCCTTCTGCTAAAAGACCACCATCTGATTCTTGCAGGAAGCCCTGCCTCTCTAGTAGTAAGTAGTAGGTGGGAAGTGGGACTTGTGGCACAGAGGCATAGTTGTATTCAGTGGGATGGGAAAGCTGCTACACCTTGGGAAGAGCAACATGAATCCAGCAGGTAAACCAGTGGTGGACAGTGTCCCCTCTACACATCGCCTGTGTATAGCAAGGCTTTGTATCTGGGCTAGACAGAGCCCCTGCAGAAAAACCACTGGTGCAAGCTCTTTACTCAGGAACTCGACCTTCAGTTCCATAGTCTGGCTCATTAAAAAACATGTAAGCAGCGAAGAGGAAATACATGCACATGGTAAAAAAGTTCAAACAAGAGTGGAGTTTTTCCTCTTTACCCTTCATCCCCAGTCCCTCCATTCCCCTCCCCAGAAGAAACCGCTTTTATCCATTGCTAGTGTATCCTTCAGCTGTTAAAGCATATGTCCATAAATGTGCCTCTTTTAAGAAGAGTAGCAAACTATACACAGCTGAGACTTGCTTTTTCACTTCGTATGTGGACATTTCACATTAGTGCATGTAGGACTACCTCATTTTTTCAAGGACTACATAATATTCCACTTCGGGATACACCATAATTCACCTAACCAGGGCCTGGCTGATGGACTTGAATTCCCTCAGACGCCTTATCCTGCACAGGCACATGCACATCAATTCTGAGCAGCATAATTACTGGGTCAAAGGTTACACATTAAAAATTTTTGATGGGTATCAACAGTTTTCCTCCAAAGAAATAATCTTAACTTACCCTAACAGTGTATGTGAGTCCTTATTCCAACACAATCTTACATCATCACATAGTGATAAATTTCTTGATTTTGAAAAACTTTTCAGAATCTAATGCTGCAAAGAGTGGGCATCCTTTTAGAAAAGACTGTTGCTTTAAGCTGCTTATAAAGGATGGGTAACAAATAATAAACAGGTATGCTTAGGCTGAGTATAAACTGAAGTCACTGTTCTCAGTGGTTTTCAGATCATCCTCAGAAGATTAATTTCTTTTGCTTCACACTCTATTTATCCTTTCCATTTCCTTAGATTGCCAAAGGCTTAAGGAAATGCAGAAATTATTTACAATAATAATGTAACTTTTAAAGCTTATCTACAAAGGAGGAAAGGGAAGTGACTGCCTTGCAGTTCTATAAAGAACTGGCAAGAAAATTAAGCATAGCTGCTAAAAGATGTGCATAGATTTAGTTATTAACAAGAATGCAATATATGTGGTCATTCACTAAGGGATCAGATGTTAAAACCCACTCTAATCTCTAGATAGGTGGAGCAGAATTCTAAGGGTTGCATTTTCCTCACTTCAGACTACATGGAAGAACATTCTCGTTTAAGACACATGGACAGACACACATAAAATGACAACAGGAACTCTGGTGTGTGTTAGTTGCCACTGAATTTGCCTCAACTCCCAGGGACCCTACGAATGAGTGATGACCACAGCAGCCCTGCTTAGCTCCGGTACACTCATATCTATGGCTGCGTCTGTGGAGTCACTCCATCTCACATTTGGTCTTCTTTTCCTGCTGCCTTCTATGTCTTCCAGAATTAATCTCTTTTCCAAAGAACCCTGCCTTCTCCTGACGTTCCCCAAGTAAAACAGCTTCAGTTTTGTTAGTTTTGCCATGTTTCACAATTTGCTGTAGGACCTGCTTGTCTTTCTGGCCGTTTAAGGCACCCGTAGACCTCTGACACTATCTTTGAAATGAATCAGTTGCTTTTTTCGTCAGCCTCCTTCACTGTCCAACTTCTACATCTGTATGTAGTAATTGGAACTATGAAGGTGTGGATGAGCTTAGGCGTGGTCTCTAATAGCGCATCTTTGTTCTCGTCTTTGATCGTCCCTAATTCTGCGGCTCTTCAGCCTCAGCCTTCTCTCGACTTCCTAGCTGCAGTCTCCATGTGAATGAGCCAAGATAAGCAAAATCCTTAACATTTCAACATCATCATTGTCTTGTTTCAAGGCTGTATATTTCTGTAGTCTTGATTTTTATCTTCTTGGTGTTCAAATGCAGTTCTGCTTTGTCGCTTTCTTTTATCATGTTCATCAGAATTTTCAAATTATTGCTACTTTCTGCCAGTAATATGCTTCCATCTGCATATATTATTGATATTTCTTCCACCAATTTTCATGACTCCTTCCTCTGAGTCTAGCCTAGTATTTTGTGTATGTTCTACACACAGATTAAACAGAAAGATGAAATGCACCCTTCCTTGATACTTTGGCCTATGGGAAACCCTTCTGTGTTTCCATATCCTGTCCTGACAGTGGCTTCCTGCCCACAGTTGAGTGCCGAGGCACACCCACTTCTTTCGGTGCAGTCCATATCCTTTCCTGACCCACACAGTCAAAAGCTTTACTGTCATCTATAAAATACACACTAACCTTCTAAAATTCTCTCAAGCACTCCTTTTTTAAGCTCTCGTTAAAAGAGAATGATTCATTTTGTGTGTGCTATTCTTGACATTCTGCTTTCTAGTTCCTGAGTTAAAGTTCCAGAAGTGAAAGAAGATATGCTATCATTTGCTGGGTAGAGCCACTGCAGTGGGCACCCATGGCTGCTAGACTTCCACGTGTGGCACACACTCCTTCCTAGCGTGATCCTTGGATGATGGGACATGGAGGTGTTGGTGTGGACATGTTTCAGGGAGCGCCCAGAACGCTTCAGCACAGGCGTTATGAACAGTGTGGGCACACTCTGGTTTATTGGGCTTCTTTTCTAACGGACACTTGACTGCTGCCATGGAAAGGAGAACCAGGTTATGCTAGACCTTCAGAGTTTTTACAGAGAAATTGGGAATTTGAACTTTTGTGAACTAATCCCAGCTTTAAAATCCTAGCAGCTAGTTCAAACATTTCTCAGACACTGAACAAAATGAGCCTGCCATCAGCAAATCTCCAAGGCCTGAGTTAGAAATGCAGAAGCCTGATGCTGATTCCCCGGAACCCTGGGGCCGTCTCGGGCAGGCACAACTGATGACTGCATGTAGACGTGCACACAACATTTTTTTGATACACAAAGAAGAAAAATTAATGGGGTCAAAAAATGTCACTACGAGCCTCATTATCAATTCAATGTTAGTAACATAATTATGATAAAAGTCTACTTTAATTATCAAAGGAGGAAATTGCTAATTGTCCAGTTAGATTCTCTAGCCATTCTTTGGACCTATTTAAAAGCAGAAAGCTTGTTCCTGTACAGTCCACATGGGTTTTCTGTAATCTTGCACCCTAGGAAGGCTTCCAGGTAAACTGGGCCAAGGAGAAATGAGCAGGAGCAAACTGAGTTTTATAACTCCGAGCTCACAGTTTGCCAAGGTCTTAGAATCCTGAACCTTTCTGGGGGAATAATGTTTAAGGGTGGCTTTCACAATGAAGTGCAGAGGAAAAGATACTTGATATATAGACTTGGTCACAGGATTAGAGCCAATTCTCTGTGAACAGACCTACTACAATTCCCATTTTAGGGATCAGTTTTAGCCTCAACTTTGTTTGTTGGTTTGTTTCATAAACTACTTTATTGTTCAATTACATAGCCTCAACTTTTTGCAGAGGGAATTCTGCACCTCTACTGCTGTACAGGTGCTGCTAGGCCAGCTTGAGATGTAACTTGCAGCCCATTCTTGCAAGCATGTGATTCCAGACAACATAGACAATACCATTATGAACCCAGTTCTCTTAAATGCTGACACTTGTTTCAGCATTTTTATTTAAATGAACCAAGCAGCTGACATTGGAAAAGACGATTACAAGGCTTACCTAAATCTACCACAAAGTCGACCTTGGAGTGGTACAAAGCATACTGCTCTCCAGGAGTCAGGAGACGTGGGTAAGGAGACTCACCTCTCTCATTGGCTCGAGCAGGTCAAGTGCTCTGACCCGGTTTCCACCTCTGTGAAACGAGAGTGCCAGACCATCTCAACGGCTTCCT